AAAAAATGCAGAAAGGAGAAGCTATTTTAAAGCCAGGACTTATTTTTCCTGTTTCAAAGTTGAAATGTTTACCAGACTTCTGTTATTTAGTCCAGATATTTGGGGTATTTATTAAGAGTTGTGCAGAGACTCTAGATTTTTTTTTTTTTTGTGTGTGTGTGTGTGTGTGGCTAATTTTAGTTAAATCTCTTTGATAATTTTTTTACACTGCTTTTTTAAACATTGTTTTATGCATGAAAATAATGTTTCATACTATAAAAATATTTTTTAGTCCATGTGCTAGTGAAACATTGTAGTACTTTTATTTTATTCATAGTGTTTTTTGTTAGTGAAATGAACATTAAGGTGTACTTGTGAATTTGGCAGTACATCCTGATCACAGTGACATGAAAACCGAGTCTCCTTCCCCAGTGGTTTTGCACCAATATAATTTTTGATGAGAGGGATCATTTTTACTAGGACAATAAAAGCTTCACTACCCCCAAGCCTGGTTGCAGTTATACCAATAATGAAAGTGCTGTATCTGGCTCTGGCTGTCCCCCAAATACTGGTATCAGCACTCCTCCACTGACTCTAAACTGGCATAGGCCAGGCCTTGGTTTTCAGCCTGCTACATCGATACCGATGTAGCTAATGCACGACAGATGTCATGGTGAAATCGTAGATCCATTGAAGTCACTGGCAAAGCTCCCATTCGTTTAAGTAGTTGCAAGGCTTTGCTCACCACGATTTCGGCTCCATGTGCAGTATCCAAAGCACAGGTCAGCCCTGATTACAGCACAGCTGATTCCTCAGCTCGGGAACGAGACAATCAGAAAGCAGCAGTGTGCACGGTGTTTGGATGTGCTCCTGTCATCAGCACTTCACTGGCATCCTTCAAGGTTTTCACACGGTGTGCAAATCCAACAGGGGCAATCGCCACAGAAACCCTTCTGCCCACACACAGTGGCCTCAATACATTGCTTTTCTTCTGCCGTCCTGCAGCATCCATGTGACACCCACAGAAGTCACTGCAGTGGGCAAGCAAAGCTTTAGCTAGTTATAAAGCAATCCAGTATTGAAAGGGGAAGGAAAAAGAGGTGGTAGAGCATTTACTTTCAGCTTTCTACTCTCTGCCTAACAGATACTTGGGGACTGAAGACCTAGAAACCTTGATGCTGCTGTGTGGGGTTTCACCGGCAGTGCAGGCGCAGGATTCAGCACTCAGCTCTGGGAATCACAGGGAAATCCCACTGCATTTACACTTCCTGAGACAGGAGATGGCCCATGGGCTGCCTGCACCACCTCTGTCTCTGTGCTTCAGAGCTGCATATGCTCCCAGGCTGTGTGTGTGTGGTTATGCGAACAAAAGCTTCTTGTGCTGCGGAGCTGCAGTCCCAGCTCTGTGCCACGTGCAGGCACAGGGAAAGCCGCTCCATGTCTCCCTCAGGGAAAAAAACAAAACAAAACACATAAACACTGGTCTGGATTTTTTTGGCGGCCCATCATGAAGCAGTTTGCTTACCATTAGTGGCAGGCTTGAGCTCTCTGGGAATACATGGGAGGTGGCGATTCCTCAGTGAGGATTGTTTAGGAAGAAATGGCATCCACTTCTGTATGAACCTACTGGCTGTCTTTCCACTATCTACCACTTGGATAATTTATTCTATCACCCAAATAAACCCGGCAGCATTAGGGACTGCAATAAAGGAAAGGATTAGGTCTCCAGCAGAACTCAGAGGCAACAGCTTAGTGCTGTTGGAAGTTGTTCCAATTGTTGTGCAATGGGAAGTTCAGTGGAGAGAAGTGATGGCTGCTCTCCCAGCCCCACTGTTTTCCAGGAAACTCCATAACAGTGAGAACTCTGGCTAAAGAGTGAAACAGGCATCATCACAGCATCATGGTCTGGGTTGCTTATTGAGATGGGTACAAACCTAAAAAACGTATCCTTCTGTGTCAAGCACTAGGACTTGCATGTCCTTCCATGATCAAACACTAGGACTTATATCCAGAAAGAGAGTACAGACCACACTCCTGTCTGGAGTCCTAGATTCCAGAGCAGGAAGGGAAAGACCCTAAAAAAGATGAGTGTGTCTTAACAGTTCAGGAAGATTGTGGCTGAGGTGAGGAGGAATCCACGACAGGCCACGGAGCAAAATGACTCAGTACTGTTGAACGTGGTGTGTGGTGACAGACTGGCGGAGACACTCCATCTGCTTAACTTAACGAAGATGAAGTTGAGAGGATGACTTGCTCACGGTCCCCGAGTACTGACATGGGGAACAGAAATGTGATAATGGAAGGCTTTTCAATCTAGCTGACACAACTGTAATGTGATCCAACTGGAAGCCAGACAAATTTTGACTACAAATAAGGTGCAGATGTTTAACAGTGAGGGTAATTAACCAGTGGAACTAATTACCAAGGACTGTGGGGGCAAACACCAACAACTTCACATGGGGATTAGGGTTTCTTTTTGCCCCTAAAGGATGTGCTCTAGCTCCTTCGGGAATGAATTTTGGGACACCCTTCACCGCCTCTCTTACTTGGGAGCTTGGGGCAGGCACACAGACTGCCTGAATCTGCCATTTGGTCATGACTGATGGTCCCAAGGTGTGCTTAAACATGGCAGAGAAAACCCGAGGCACCTGCCCAGACAGGCTCACCCTCTTTGTCACGTCCCCTGGGCTGCTAAGTAAGGGGACAGACGGGCAGGAGTGGGAGGAGAAAGCTGTGGGCAGCGGGATTGTAGATCCCCTTTGTGAAAGCATTATCTCCGTGATTGGGTTACTCTTAAAAGACATACAAAGAATGAAAGAATTAAGACTGCAAATGCAATTGTCTGCCCTGCTAAAAGCATTGCAGGCAAAGCGGGCTTTCAGGAAAGGTAGCGACAAAGCGTGCCGTGCGCTCCCTGCCCGTGGCTGTGTGAGGGCAGGCTCCAAATGCTTCCTGAACTGCGGCAGGCTCGGGGCCATGACCACTGCCCTGCGGAGCCTGTCCCAGTGCTTGACCACCTCTCAGTGCAAAAGCAGCCTTCACCTGGCGTGAAGCTGGCTTGGGGATCACCATTTCAGCAGCCCACAGCTCCTAGCACAGGGAGGCCTTCTAGAACCTTCTGAGGCCTTCCAGAGCCAGTGAAGACAGTGCCATGGGGCCCTGCCGTGCCCAGCCACAAAACAGCCGAGCAGACCCTGCAAGCCCCCTGCTCATCCCGTGGCATCCCCCCGGCCTCCATTTCCCCGCGCTGCCTCCCCAGGGCGGCCGGGGCTCCGTGTGGGGTAGGGGCAGGGGGGGCGCCTCAGCTGCCTGCTCGCACCTGCCGCCGCTCGCAGCCGCAATTAGTTGCACCCGGTCGAAGCCAAATTGAGGCCCCTTTCAAACCGTAACTCCCCGCATTTTGTTTCCAAAGGGAAGTTCATCTTTTATGTGCATGCAAAATGGATAACACCCAAGGAACTTTTTTTTTTTTTTTTTTTTTTCTTCCCTTCTTCTGTCAGTCAGGCGAGGATTTGTTTTTTAAAAAAAAATACTGGTGTGGCGGTGAGGTGCAGTGGCTGGAGGTTTTAGTGATCCTTCTTGTACAGCTTGGGAAAGATCGATTTTTCAAAGAGCCTTGAGGGCTCAAGTGTGTGTGTCCTGCTCCTGGGGAGGGGTGCTCTCTAGTGAAGGTTAAAAACCCAAATACGTGCTAGCTTGCAGCAGCGAGTGGGGCAGGGATGGACACGGGGGGGTCCTGCCCCTTGGGGAAGCCAGGCCCTGCCTGTCCCCTCTCCTCAGGCAGGTGGGCAGGGAGAGGCAGAGGTTGGGTGGGAGACAGGTCCCTGAGCTCCTGGTTGCTCATGTTGTGGTGGTGGTGGTCACTTGCCATCCTCTGCGTCAGCCGCACGGATCAGCAGAGCTCGCCTCATTGCTCTGCAGAAAGCCTCTGTCAGGGTGTGGGGCAGCTCCCCACCGGTGCAAGAGGCAGCAGAGGAAGAAGGTGGCTGCTGGATGCCTTTGTCTGGAGTTTTCAGCGCCCACTCGTCTGCCTGCTCCCCCTTCTTCCCTTCTCCCTCCAGACTCCTCTTTCCTTCCATTACCTCCGTTCTCCCCCTCTCCTCCTCCCCTCGTACAACCAACTCTCTGAGGCACTCTGTTCCTTGAACTATTCCCCTCTCCTGTAGCCTCTCCCTCACCCTCCGGCTCTTTGCCTCCTCCCCCGCTCCCCCTCGTTGTTTTTCCTGCATCCGCATCCACATTCACCGATGTGCGTATCCCCCTTCCCTGGGATGCTGGTGCTGCTGGTGCTGGCGGCGTGGTGGTCCCCAGCCCTGCTGAATCAGTTCTTCTGAAGGCAGAGCTCCCCTCCAAGTGATTGACAGAAGGTGCTGATTCAGTAGTGCGTGGGGGATCCGGCAGCAACCGCATTAAGAGGATTTACAAAAAAGATAAGACGCAGCGCTGAGCTTCCCTTGGTAATCGTGCAGCACACAATTCAGGACTGTACTGGGAATTTCGGCGCAGCTGACAGGTACACAGCGCTGATCCAATTGTCCTTACAGCCATTATTAGCCAAAATAAGGGGCAACTGGAATTACAAATGATTTCTGGGTAAATGCTTAGCTCTGATTCTGAATGATCTCTCAGCAATAATCCACACATAATCCTCAATGCAGAGAGTCTGCTTTAAAGGCAGCTCCATGTTGAGCAGGCCTCAATAATGCATGGATGTCCTGATTCACAAAATAAAGGAGGAGAGGGAGAAATAAGAAAGCCACATTTGTTTTGCAGCCTTTTTTTTTTTCTGGGTTGAATAAAATTTAGGGAAGTGCATGACCACATACTGTTTATTAAGAGAAGATTACCTGCTTGGTAATTATTTCTTTGGGAGAATAATTTTACACTACAATGACCATGTATGACTGTCTCAGGCGGGTCTGATGTATCTAGAAAGTAAACAAATGAATAAAAATCTCCTGTAATGAATTGCTTTGTGATGTTTATTCCTCAAAACACTTTTTTTTTTTTTTTTTTTCAAGGTAGGAAGTCAGAAAACGGGTAGCTGCAGGGCCTTGACCCAAGGGAGCAAGTATGCTGAAGGTTAGTGTCTGCCCTCTTCTCCTTTATACGTGCTGCTGTGAAATATTGCCTGACCCGGTGGCACTCACCCAGCCCCATTACCAGGACACCTGATTGCCCTGCAGTCCTTGGTGCATTGGTCAGCCACACCACAGCCCCATGAAGCGCAGCAGGAAAGCGTGCTGCTCCCAGAGGCACAAATCCCCAGAGGGGAGCAGGTGCCTCTTGCCTGTTTTTGTGTCCATATCCTCTGGGAGGGTGTCTGCGTGCAGGGCGTGGGGAGGCTGCAGGCAGGACTCGGGTCACGTGCATGTGTATGAAACCAGTACCGCAGACTCCCAGTTTGTACTGGTGTGAGACCAGAATAACACTCTACTCATTTTGTGTGTCTTGTGTGGGCATGAGACCCAGGGCCAGGTTTTCAGAAGATCTAATTCCTCTTAGCACCCCGTCAAGCACTCACGCCTTGGTGTTTGTCTCCTTTTAAGAGTGCTCTTCCTACAACAACCTGATTGCTGGAGAGTGAGCACAGAAGAGTTTTGAGTCTGCAACAATTACTTGTGTGAGTAATCCTTGGGTAATCCCGAGAGGTTTTACCTGGCTGACTAAGGACTCTGAGAGTATCACCAATCTCTTTGATATATCCTCTAAAAATATTTTTGGCCCATTGCTTCCTCTAGGACTTCCAAGGCTACTGGAATAAGTTTTGTAATCTCTGGTATACCTTAATTAGCATCCCTGCGATGTTTAAAACAGTAGGCTCAACTCTTGGCTATACAACAGAGAAACGTTGGAAATGATATCTGTTCATCACGAATCATATTCTCCCAGATACCTGCTACAGAGGGGAGAGCAGGCACTGCCAAATACCACTGGAGAAATTTAATCTTTCCCTGCTAGCAAATTCTGAAAAAGCAAATAACATTTTCATAGTTTGTTTACTCATTTGTTCCTTAAAAGAGGCAAAGGAATCTGTGAATCAGAAGAATTTCCATCTCAAAAATTGCTTTGGCAGCCAGTGGCTTGTAATTTAAGATTAAGTGATTGAATTTCATGCAGCCTTGCTTAAAATTCATTACCCCACACGCTGTCGCCATACGCTTAAAAAACCAACAAACAAACAACAAACCCCAAACGTCTATGGCATTACTATAAGTCAGTCAAAAAATGTCCAATCAGCTGGGAGGCCCCAAAATGTACTTAATGAAGACGTTGTCTGCATGACTGCTGGATTTTTTCCCTTCACAGCGTTCACAGCCTACCAGAGAGTTCCCATTCCTATGCAATGCCAGTGCTGGGCTCGCTTCAATCAGGCTGCACAAATCAGTGGAGCAGAAATGCCTCCTTCCCTCCATCACCTGAAACCAATGCTGATTCATCTGTTCAGACCCATTCCTCCTGCCCCTCCTCTGAATTTACTGATTGCTGATTCATTTTTTTTTTTCCCCTTTCCCCCTCCTCCCCCCCGTACTAAGCATCCCGTGCTGAATGCAACACGCTTCGTTTCCACATCTCACTGAAAGGGAATATGGAAATTAATTGGCTCAGGCTGCTAGCAGCCTCTTACACGTGCCTGTACCCTCTGAGAGGTGCAGTGCAATTGCTTTTCCATTGTAACTCCCTACCAGCCACCTATTTCCTTGCGTGAGCATGCTGCCGTGGCTGCTCTCAGCCCAGGTAGCAGACACGGATGCCACCTTTCCTCTCCCTGCTGTGCAAGAGGGGGGGGGGAAGCTGGCAGGGCTGTCCTCGTGAGGGCTGGAACTGCCCCTGTTTGACTTAAAATAGGCCAGATTTAGTGAATTCTCCAGCTTGCGGTAAATAGCGTGTGACTGGTGCTTTGGCGAGGGCTGCAGAGCGATGCTGTACAGCGCAGTGGCACTTCAGCTGAAATGGTTATTTGTTGTCTCTGCTGGAAGCAGGGCCCAGCTGAAAGAGAGCAGCCAAGAAATGTCCTTCAGCCACGGGAGGAGGGTACGGGGACCCTTGCAAATTGGAATATAATCTGGCTCTGCAACTGTGTTCCAGCTCAAACATTTTAATGCACGGGTTTCTATCTTCCAGTGGCTTCATGCCAGATTTTCTCATGTCTTTCTCCTATTTGTGGACAATTTGGGTTTCCCAAGTGAAGTTGCCCCATGTCTCGAGTGCAGGAGTAGGTTGGCCCTGCTGCCCCGTGCTGAGGACCTGCCCCATGTTCTTGTGGAGCTTTTCCATCTCTGTGAAAATAAGGAAGCTGGGGAAAAGAAGGCCTTATCTCCCTGTCATACATGGGTGAGGCCCAAAAGGAGCAAGACTTCTCAGCCAGGCAGGCAGGGGGGTGAAGTCAGGGGGGCCAGGGGCACCTCTGTAGCAGGGGAAAGGAAAGGAGACCCACAGCTTGGAGATACAGCTACCAGAGGGCTCTGGGAGTGCCCCCACACTTGCCAGAGGGAAATGGGCTCCTTTGAAAGGTGGGTGTTGCAAAACCATCCCTGACTCAGTCCCCTGCTGGAAGGGCGATGCTGAGCTCTAATATGCAGGAGAACAGTGGTCATTTTGTGCTGATTGTTTTTTCTTTGGCAGCACTGCAAATAGTGGCTTTTAGAGATCTGAAGAGGGACATCTGTGTCCAGAAGCTGGCCTGATTTCCCCATCTATAATCAGTTGGTCTAACAAAAGATATTGTCTCTACACACAGATTTTGCCTTACTGATGTCTTTTGACCATTACAGTGATTACGAAACTACTGTGAGGCCGTTGGGGCATTTCTCAGGAGATCAGTGGCATGAACACCGCAGGAATAAGAATATTTTGGCAGAGGAACTCTCACCTCACCCTTAGCATCATCCCTTGCATACTCATCTCAATAGGCTGATGGTGCAAGCCCTGCTAGGTCTTGGGATTGCACTCATTTGTGTTTGTAGGAGCACAGGGAATGACTCAGACTCTTACAGCACCGTAGCTGTGAGGCTGCCTGTGATGTCTCTGGCACGACGCCCATCTTTCTCTTCCACGTTTGAACAGCCTCTTGCTCAAGGAGCCCTGGCCTACAAGAAGGACTACTTCCTATTATTAACACAATAGCAAGAAATGAAAGAGCAGGCACATTCGTAATGCGGTATCATTTACGGAGAAGACATGATCTCAGGCACGCTGGATGTCAAAACCGGATGAGAAACTTTTCTAGTTTTATCGCAGCTTCTCCCAGAGCCACTGCTGCTTACATTCTGGAAATTTACAGGATGAAGGATTTTGTCATGATATCTAATTCTAATCTGAAGTGATTTACTGTTAAGTTGGAAATCAAGCTTGTACATATCCCCCTCCAAGTGGTTTCTATGACAGTTTCTATTAACCATAAAAATGTCACTTGCTAGGAAGTATCAGCCGTCTTACAAGCCTTGCAATCATCACTACCAGATGCACACTTACTGAATGGAATAAATATTCTTGTACAATTAGCCAGAGATGCAGGACATATCTGGCTATCTCTCTTGCCTCCAAAAAATGAAACCCCTATATCAAGGGGTGAGGTCTGTCTGGATTCTCTGAGGTTCTTCAGATCGTGCGTTGTTGTAATGCTTTATGGACAAAGCACAGTGGTGGGTAAATTTAGGCTAATGGTTTTGGTCCATGTCTTCTTCATTTTAGTCTGTACAAGCTACTGAAATACCTGCTTCGTGTTGTTCTGATCCAGCACAGAAATTATTTAGCGTCTGTTCTGTGGTTCATAATGTGTTTCGAAACACACCAGCGGCTGAGTGGCATTTCCTGCTGTTGCACAACCACAGTAAACCTGGTACTGTGTGGATGCACTGCATACACTTTGTCCTCATCTACCCTTCAAGGAAATGACACACAGCCTTTCTTGAGACTGGGGTTGTTGCTGACTTCTGCCATGGGATGTGTTAGCAGTGTTGAGACACAGATTTTTGTTCATCTGGTCCTCAGGTATTAGCCGAAATGTGAGTCTGGGTTTGCATCATGCTCTGCTAGAGATCTGAGCCATTACACTCAAGGTCTTTGCTGTTGGCTGGGAACTCAAGACATTAGTCTGAATAATGAAGAAGGCATTTGATCAGCTGTTCTCATAAAGTCCCCACCTGTTAAGCCATATTCTGAAGAGGAGTCATAAAGAAAGCTGGACCGCCATTGCTGTGTTTGAATCTGAGGACTGAAATCCAGGGGGGCACAGAGCTGAGCTGGTGGATTTGGACTGCATGAGACACATTGCCCTTGCAGCAGAAAAAGCCTTACAGCACAAGAAGCAAGATGTTGCTTTCCTAGGCCTAAAAGACAAAGTCATGTTCTGCTCTTCTTTGCACCAATCTGACTAGCGAAGTTAGTGGATGCTGTCTTGTTGGCTGGGGAAAAAAATGACTGTGATGCAGTTTGCAGCTGGCACACTAAATGGAGATATCAACAAATTCTACAGAGCATCTGGCTGGCTGGGCGAAGTGAGCTCAGAGCCTGGGTGTTTCTGATACAGCGAGGTGAGAAAGAAAGCATTCGGTCACATTTCTAGAGTAGGAAGACTGTATTTTGGAGAGTAGCAGCTCTGAGAGGGACGCACTGACTATAACTTCAAAAAAGGTTGAAACTACCCACCAACTCAATAGTTATTCCGGTGTGAATGAGAGCAAATGTACTCCCACGTCTGCTTGTAAGGTGAGCAGAGCCCTACCATGAGTGCAGGAAGCTGTACGTGGCTGCAGGTGGGAGCTTGCATCCTGCTCTGGGCAGGGCTCATGGCAGGAGATAAGGCAGAAAACAGGAGCCTTTAGTTCCTTCTCTCCTCTTTGTCTGCTTTGCAAAGGCTGTTGTGAAAGCAGAAGGGGCTTAAAATGTCTGGAAGAACCATTCGTGACCTGTCAAACCTGCTCTGTGAGGAGAAGCTGAAGAAGCTCCTTCTACGAAGCTTAAGAAAAAAAAAAAGTGTGACTTGACTTCAGCACAGGGAGTGGGAAGTATTTCTGAGACTGGGAGGCCCTTTGTCTTTTATCTATCACATGCGTGTGTAACCCAGAGCTAAAAGCCACCGTGCATCCCTCACTCATGGAGTTTAGAAATCAGAGTTATAATACAGAATATTATACAATTGTAAATCCTGTTGTCAAAGGGAACAGTGCCTGTGGTCTGCTTGTGACTGCAGAATCCACGATGAACACCTGTAATTTTCCTCTCCTGGAAACGCTGTTAATTTATTTTATTTATTTATTTATTTATTACGTGATAAAACTGGTTTGAAGTGATTTCGCTGTCCCTCGAAGTCTTGTGAAAAGAGAGCAGACTGTACTAGCATGAGAAAAGATGGTGCTCGCAGATGTCTAAGAAGCAAAGAGCCACAGATATTCTCTAAAGTTGGTGGGATGAGGCTGCTTTTTTCACCGCAATGTTAATGCGTGCACCTTGGAGGCTCTCATCTCAGCCAGCGTCTGATCATGCTCTTGCATGACATCCAACGGCTCAAGAGCAAAAGCACCAGCTTGTATTCAGCACCATGTAGCTCCAAAATCAATGTCAGCTAAGCATTTTCATTGCTAACAAGCTAAAAATCTTCATGGATATTATTTGGAATAGAACTGGATAAATAGCACTGGAGGACTCTGATGAACATAAATTTCCCAAGCTGTGAACCCTTCTTCCCTGACAGCCAGATGAGAGGAAGGACAAAAGTCATTTCTGCCTGTTTTCATCTCTGCTCTCTTTGACGTGCCTCTTGAATGGCTGAATGTCACCAGAAAAAACAATGACTTAGCGAGGACTTTGCATAGAAAGATCCAATTTAAAGAGTGGGATTTGCAGTCCACAGCAAAAGAATATATCGAGCTTCCAAATTCCAGTCCAGTGGAAGCCCGGGAATTAATTGGGCCAGCTGGTAAGTGGCCTTTTCCAGACTTCAGAGAGATAGCAGGTACACACGCACATGCTGTGTGCAAAGGCACTCGCTGCAAACATAATATTGAGCTAATATCCCTGAAAGGTGCCAGGCTGATAAAAGTGGGAAGTGCAGACTTTCATCGGTGGAGCAGGTGTGACAAAGGTCCCGGCAGCATGAACTTCTCTGCATAGTGAAGAACACAGGGACCGAGTTTTGTTTTAACATTTACCTCTACGAGGAGAGCAGGGACAACTCACTAACAACGGGAGGATCCCAGCTTGCTCCGTGACCGAAGCGCTATCGTTAGCATGCATTGGGTTCCCCGCAGCAAATGAGGAATTGGAATTGAAATAAAGTATTGAAATTGCAGTAGAGGCTATACATGACTTTTAACTGCATCATAAAATGTATTTTAGATGGCTATAATAATAATAAAAAAAAAGGTTGAAAGCCAGGACAGATCAAGATTTCATTGTTTTCAAAAAAAAAAAAATTAAAATTAAAAATCCAGACAACGCAACCCCTCTCACTCTCCACTTTTAAAACAAATGCATTCACAGCCTCTGTCTGTGCAAACAGTCTTAATGCTGACTTTGCTCCCCTCTGCTCGGCCCACAGGGGATGCAGAGAAAATCAGGAGTTTGGTGAGGCTGCTGGTTGGTAAGCCAGACCGCAGCATTTGCTACGGTGGCCATAGATCAGCCTGCTCGTGCAAAGGGGGCCTCGTCTGAAGATTCCCCCTCATGTCCCATTGACTTTATGGATAGTCCTCGGGATCTTGCCTGAGCACATCCAAATGTTTGTACAGCACCTGATGCAAACAGGCTGTCGTCCTGCTTCATTTGTCAAATGATAAATAACATAATAATGCTATAATTGAAGTTATTCGCACAGACAGTAATCATCGGGTGATTCAGTACAGCGCAGACTTGCTAGGTGGAAGACTACACTAAGCTTATGCAGAGATTTCTATCTTGCCCATCAGTTTTTGCACGCTAAATATATTCTGAATTTACGAATGCTGAAGTTTTAAGGTGAGATTTTCTATGCTTGGGCTCAACCCAAAAATGATTCATTTTCGTAATGCCAGAACAAAACCGTTCAAGCACTTTTGAGTTATGTGAGCCTGAAAGACAAGGTATTGATAATGTTGCTATTAACAGCTGAATCAAGACTCCCTGACAGCACATATAATAATATTTTTTTATTTATTGAGCAGGGAGCAGCAATACAGGCGGAGGTGGAAGACAGGAAACTTCGGAGAGTTTATGCCTGCCAGCAAGCAACACCTGATCCAGAAATCAGGCTTTGGCGATGTGCAGCGCACGGCAAATATACTTGAATTAATGCCTGAGACCTGGCTGATACATACCTCATAGTTAATCTGGTTACGCGGGGTTTATTTCACAGTCGGAAGTTCTTGCACTGGAAGGGAGTCCTGCTGGGGTTTTCTGAGCACACGACTGAATTAATGAATGAACGAATGCAGCTTGCCAGCCCAGATTTAAATTGCTTACTAGATCAAAATCTGCTCGTTTTCTCTGTCCTTTTTTTTACTTTTTTTTTTTTTTTTTTTTTTTTTTTTTTTTTTTTTTTTTCCTTCTAGCCTCTCCGCCTTTCATTTATTAACGTATTTAGGAAAACAGATCAAGAGCACAGAAAGTGCCCGCGGACGTCACCAAGGCAGCACATGCAGATCAATGGCTGGGTTTTGTGCTGGCTTCAACCCTGGCACGAGGCTTTGAGCCGTGCTTCTGGGCAAGAGGGACCCTGGCAGGGGCTGGCGGTGTTGGCTGGGGGTGTGAGGAGCCGCGGCCTCTGGGAAAAGGCCGGCATTAAGAGCCCTGCTTTGAAAGGGCAGGCAATAAACCCGGGCTGCTTTGCGGGAAGGGTCACGTTGTTTCTATCTTTCAGATCCACGCTGCCTTGGGAACTAGCCAGTTGTCAGATTTTAATGGGCGCTTGCAAACAGTGTAATATTTTGATTTATTTGGCCACTGGGCAGATCTCCAGCCTGCCGTCTTGACTGCGGTGTTTGTATTTTAATAGGAGTTTTAAGAAGGCTTGGTTAGGGGTATTTAAGGTAGTCCCTGAGCTTTCACGTAGACTTTCCCAGCCCCGATCAGAAACACAGCCCTGCAGAGACGTGGTGGCAGGCTTTTAGGAAGCAGAGGAGCAGGGATCCTGTAGGGCTGCCCTCGGCGATGCCCTCCTGAAGGTTTTTTCGGATGACCGAGCTCATCTCCCACTGCCCGTAGCGCCCGATTTCGCATCCCAGTGCCTGGACTCCTTAATGCTGTGTCCAACCGTGCTGTGCAAGGCTGGGATGAAGGCAGCCCTCGCTCCTCTGCAGAGCAGAGCACTCCACCCTGAGCAGCTCCTGCAGGGCACTGGGGAAGGCAGGATGCCTGCTCGCCCCCCTCCAGCCCCCCAGCACCAGCTCTGAAGGGCTGGACATCTCCCTCCGAGCCCCGGCGCTGGGATGCGCTGCGAGGAGGTAACGTGTGGATGCACAGAGCTGGAGGCAGCGAGACGCCTCCCCGGACTCCGGTCTGCATGCTCACGAGCAAAGGGGTCAGGAGACAAATGTCGCTCGTTCAAGGTGAAGGGCACGAAGGAAAAGCCGCCTGTGCTCTGTGCCGAAGGCTGGAGACCCTCCTGAAGATTCACTGCTCTTCGTTTTTAGCGGTGTCTTAGACAGGAATTTTAGAGCCTGTGAAAACAAGAGGCTGATAAACCCACGGGGTTAATCACGAGAGAGCCTGCCGCTATATCCGGGTGTCCCGAGCTGCACTGCCACTGCTCTTCCTCACCTTCCTCCCCCCGTGCTGCGGACAGACCCTGACCCCACCGAGGAGGATGAGGCAGGGTCAGCAGCGATGCGCGTTTCTGCTGCACACCATCCCAAAGGGAGCAGGAGCTCTTCAGAAGTGAAAACCTGCTTTGACCTGTGGGGCTCAACTCTATTAAATGAGGAGCTGAAGAAGCCACCTGCTTGGACTTTGAAGGGCCAGTGGTGGCCACTTAATTAATACCCTCTGTGGGACAGTTTGGTCCCTGAAAGGGCAGCCACAGCCCAGAAGCAACTAAAGCAAGGATGGTGGATGATTTCAGAAGGCACCTCGAAGCCCAGCATGTTGGCAAACTCTGCAGCCATTTGGTCCACGGTTTCATCACGAAGCCCTTTAGAGACAGCGAGCTGCACCTCTCCTCCTCATCTGCCTCCCCCGTGGGCACACACAGAGAAAAAGAGAAGCCTGGGCAGTGTGCCCACACCTACCTGTCCTCCAGCAGCACCCCTCTAACAGGAGGGATGGGAGCACGAGGAGAAGCATCAACACGTCTTGCAAAAGGGCAGGCAGTGCCCAGGCGCCAAACAGCTGCGAGGTAGCCCATTAATTCAGGGGCAAAGAGGCGAAAAGCAGCCCACCAGAACTTGAGGCCTCACCAGCTTGCTGTACCGAGCAGCGCTTGAAATGCTAATTAAAACGAGCTGGGGGAGAGGAGCCTGCTAAGAGGATCACAGCCTCTCTTGGATCGAGCAATAAACATGTAGTAGGCATCCATGTTTCCCTCTATGCATATTTTCCGAGCCGAGCTGACTGTAAATGTTGTGGTTGTGCGAAACCCACACAGAGCAGGATGCAAACACACACTAGAAAGAGACGCGAGGCCTACTCACGAAGCCGAAAGAGGAAAAACATGACAGCCTTTGACATATAAATAAATAACTGCCTGAAATGAGGGCTAATTAACTTGCAATAAACCAACTTAACCACTTAGGGGCAGCGTTAACACAGAGTTAACATGCAAAACAAACCTGGGTGTTCTCACCTGGTTAATTTAGGATGCACCCTGCCTATTCATCGCCTACCAAACACTGATCCATCAGCACACCGAGTGATGCGGTCTGTCAGACCCGGGAGTGCAAGATAATAGGGGGAACTCAGCTGCTGCTCACGCAGTGTTGGCTTTGATCATTTGGTGCTTCTAAACACATTCGTAGGTGCAGGACTTGGCTTCCTTCCCTCTGTCAGGGTCATGGAGTATGTTCTATGCAAAGATTAAACCTAAAAAAAAAAAAAAAAAAAAAGGGCTTCACTTAAAATAAACAGAAAGACGGTGAAATAGAAAAAAAAAAGCTGTCTTTGAGAAATGCCGCTCTTGCATGCAGGAGCTGAAAAAAAAACACATTTTATCTCCATGGCCACATTCAGTGTCACTTCACTTTCACACAATATGTTTTTTTCCCCTCGTGCACATTCAAAATAATCCCGGTTCCTTGGATTCGTCCCTCTGAAACATCTCCTTGCGTTGCTCAGACCCGCTTCAGGTGTGTTTACGCTCCCCGACCAGAACAAGTAAATCAAGGAAAGGCGTTTTCTTCGCGTGGCTTGGCTAACTTTAGGTAGCTCTGGCAGGTGGAGGCAGCAGGAAAAACATGGTAACCTGTTTCTTTTATTTGTTTTATTTTTATTTATTTATTTTTACAGCCTGCAGGCACTGCCACTGCCCTGGCCGGTGCTGGGGCACCTGGACGCCAGCTCCTTTGGCGCTGGGGTACGCGGTGCTGCCTTGTAAGGAGCAGCAGACCTTGCAGCCGGGAGCAGGTGCAGGTGTGTGATCGTGTTTCTGGTGGATCAGCCGGGGCGCTGGGTGGGGAACGCGTGCCAGCTTTGTGCTTTGTGGCTGGGAGAAGGTGGATGGATGATACCTGATCCGGCATGAAGGGAGCTCGGTGCAGGGAGATGATATTGAACATGGCATGATGTTAAAGCGGGGTGGGGAAGCGATATCTGATCTGGCAGAAGAAGCTGCTGGTACAAAGTTGGCCTGTCAGAGCCATTAAAACGAGTTCCAACCCGTGGAGTGAGCGCCATGTGGCCAAAGCATTTTGGTACCGGGGAGCCCAGAGGCAAATTTACCATGTTGCCCAAACCTGTGCTCACAAACAGAGTGGGGCAGATGTGACCACCCGCACCGACATGCCTGTGTGAGGAAAGGCGCTGGGATGGATGGGGAGGCAAAGGGTCAGGGATGTTGAGTGCTGCAGACAGGGACCCTGTCCAGCACTGCTGATGCCCTGGCAGCTATTGCAGAGTGGATTCTGCCCTGGCAAAGGTCTTCCCCCACGGCTGGCGGTGGTGCTGGGGTTGCTGGCTGGGGGTGATGTGGAGAAGGAGAGGGATGTGTTGCACTGCTGCCAGCGCTGCTTCTGCTGAGGGAGGGGATCAGGCTCCGGAGCTGCTGCCCTGCCAAAAGCATTAAACTGACTGAAAGGCACTCCCGCGAGAAAAGGAAGCAAGCAGGCTGTCAGGAGAGAGAGAGGAACAACGAGCCCACTGTACAGGATCAGCCACAGACCACCCTTCTCCACCAAAGTGATATTTCTTCTTTCACCTGCCTCAAGCTGATGACGAAAGCCAATGTTCAGGCACTCACGTCCTCTAACATTTTCTTCCAGCCCAGCCTAGCGCCATGGCTCCTAGGAACTGGAAGCAGAGTGGTGGGGCTGAGTCGCCGTGCGTTATGCCGAATATTTGCCCCTCATGCACGCTATTTTATTTTAAATCTAGCGTGTAATATGCTTTGCATCTAGCACGTTGCTCTTGTGTGTTTTTCCCTTGCCCTGCCTGCCTCTCGCTGGCAGCTGCCATCGGGAAACAAAAGGCAGCTGCCAGTTTGAGTGAACATCTCTCTCTCTTTCCCCTCTTGCTCTTGGAGCTGATGCAATGCCACTTCACGGGCTGGGTGGCAGGCAGTGACACGAGGGACTTTGCTGCCCTCGGGATGCTTGGGCACGTGGTGCCTCCGAGACTCGCTGCCAGAGCTCACAGCTACGTGTAAGCTCCTGAACCTGGCCCAGCAGTTGCCAAGAGGCATTTGGCTGCCGTCCTGCCAGCACACCAGCTCGAGCTATCTCGGCTGCAGCAATTGCCCGTTCCACAGGATTTAATGCTGCTGCTTTTGGCAAAGGGGACAGCTTATTAAGCACCACTTTGGCCTTCTGCCCCAAGGTGTGTAATCGGATGCAGGGATTTCTTGCTTCAAACAGGTGGTGTACCGAAGTCAGGTGAAACAAAGCCTGAAAGAAGAGAGATTGAACTGAAGCAGCAGTTGGAAGACGAACCTTTCTGGTGTCAAATTAAAATACTGTGGGGAGAAAGTGGGAACAGACCCTCACCTAGACCCTCAGGCCAGCTGTGAACCTAGGATGCTGCTGTCCTTTGGCCAGCACGTGAGCTGCTGTGCATGTTGAGGGAGAGCATCTGAAACTGCTCTGGCGTATTTATCCCTTGGTATCTTTTACAGCTGGCTAACTCCATGTTCTCGGAGACTCTGGAGACCATCTGAGAGACCAGTTCAGCTGTTTTTTTTCTGGAGCTGGAAAGTATGGAAGAGATGTTTCTGCTTTTCTTGGGGAGCCTTTACCCTGAACTATAATCAGAACATGCTTTGGGAAAAAAAAAAAGTTCAACTCCTGACTGCTGTAAATAGCCATGGGTGGGATAATGCCTCTCAGAAGGGAGTGCTTCCTGCTGGGAGAAGGGCAGAAATGAATTGAAGTTCACTGGGGCTGCGGTCATTGGCACAGGCTCAGCGTTTCCTTATCTCTCCCGGCTATGGCGGGGCTGGGGAAGAGGTGAGGCACACAGGGCAGGAAGGTTGTGAGAAACCAAGCAGGACCCCAAACTATACTGTAAAAGGAAAAAGCCAAGCAAACGCATGCTGCAGTTCCAATCAAGAAAGTTAGGAAATGAGATCCCAAACACCCCAGGAGCCTAGTGTGTGCTGAAGAAGCACACTGAAATAAATTCTCATGCAAGCTGTATCACTGTGACTGTCAGAGAAACGGAGCCCCACTCCATTTCCTTCATGGCAATTTTCTTTCAGACAGCTCCTGTTCTTTTTTTTTTTTTTTCCCTTTCTTTTTTTTTTTTTTTTTTTTTTTTTTTCTTTTCTTTTTCCATAATAGAGATGGGTATCCTCACATCATTCACTGTAAGGTCTTTCGCTGAAATTATGTGAACTGGGGTTTGTTCTGAGGGATAGCTTGGGAAGATCCTCGTTTGCCTGTTTCGCCTGATAGTCAAGTCCAAAGCAGACATTACTTTCCTAAAGCAGAAGCTAAGTGAGGAAAAGAAGCTGCAGAGGACAGGTCTGGAGTCCCCGAGAGCTGTCAGGGCAGGGGAGAAATCACAAATGCAGGTGAGGAGGTTGTGCTTTTTCTAAACAAAGAGCAAGTTATGCTTCCAAGGTGAAGATGACTGCCTCTAGATTAAAGAAGGCTGCAAATAAACAAAGAATACAAGTTCGTTGCCATGAGCAAGAAAGGGCATCTTGCGTTGGTTCACGCTGCTGACTTGCCTCTCAGATAGGCAGGCACTCACGTAGCTCCTTGCCCTGAAAGGGTGTGCTGCAGGAAAGCAGAGGCAGAAAAAGGGAGGCACGAACATTCCTGCCTCAGCTGCCACAGTTCCCCTCGCCTGAGCACATGGATGGTGTCCACAGGTTTTCTCCAGTTCCAAAAGCTAGGCAGAAGGTAAAATTTATGGAAATGTCTCCAATTTGATTGATCGGAGCCACCTGCTAGTCAGCGGGCTGTGAAGCAGCAGCAGTGTAAGTTAACGGCTGGGTTCCTTCGGGCTGCGTTGTGGATCCCCTGATCTTGTGCTCCGTTCTCCCAAAGTTGTGCTGCGAGACCATCAGCAAGCCCCACTGCAAGGACCAATGTTGCTGTGATGGGACACGGGGCCCAGACCCTCTCTAGTTTACACACTATATTTGATAAGAGGTGATTCGTGGTCCTGCTCTGAAAATCCAGCTATTTATTTTAACTCCTGCAGCACTGATGAGTTAACACAGCTATTGACAAGGAGAAGGAATGAGGCAGATCCTTCCCCTTCATCACCATCTGCACTGGCAAGTCAGGGCCAACAGCTGGGCCAGATCCTGCTCCTGAATGTTATCTTTTACCATTGCTTTGGCTTCTTCTGTGCTAGCTAAGGAGCTTTTCCTAATCAAGGTATTTTCTTGCTAGCCTTCCCCTTTGCAGAGTTCAGTTTAGCAGCTGCCCTGAGAGCTCCTGCTCCACGTCCCTGCCATTGCAGCTCTGCCTTATGGTCACAGTTATTTGGGTTTCCTTTCCAAGATCCTCTGTCCTACAGAAGGGCCTCCCTGACCCCTTCTTCTTTCTTAAAATCCCCCCCCTGCCTGCTGGCACTCTGCCTGTGCCTCCCTTGTGCTTTCTGCCACCCTGTTCTCCTAGTGTGCACCGTCACCTGGGGCACATGGGCCCAGGCAAAGAGCAGCCCTGGGACCCTAAACCAGGCTGTTTCATCCTGTGACACGGTGATCCTGGGCATCTCAGGGATGTTCTCAGGCGTTAGGGATCAGGAGGATCTCAGGAGGATCTCACAGAGCATGGGGGAGTTATTCCCCTCTGGGTTCTGGCATGCTGTGGTCAACAGAAATCCTCCAAGTCTTCACCTTCTGTGAGCCCGGACCTGTCTTCATCTTGGAGAGAGATGCTGCTGAAAAACAGGTGAACGAAGCCACCCACCTCCCTCTGACATCCCTTGCTCAGGGATGCTGGGACCTGCTCTGTGCTAAGCCCTCTGCCCTGGAGGAATCACCAAATCATGCTACCTAAATGCTCCCTGCAGCACAGCCCCACGCAGCCGTTCCACCTGCTAGGGCTGAGGCCTGGGTCTTGGTCTTGAGTTTTGAGGCCAGATCCCCACACTTGTGTCTTACCTTCCCGTGTTTTCAGCTTGTAGCCAAGGCGAGCCAGGAGCAAAACTTGAACTCATGCTCAGTCTCAG